AGATGAGAAAACTAAAGGCTAAGTGACTTGTCTAGGGTCACATAGCTAAGAAATGTCTGAGGCCAGATTTGTTTTTGTTTTGTTTTGTTTTGTTTTTTGGCTAGGCAGTGGGTTAAGTGACTTGCCCAGAGTCACACAGCTAGTAAGTGTTATGTGTCTGAGGTCAGATTTGAACTCAGGTCCTCCTGAATCCAGGGCTGGTACTCTATCCACTGCGTCACCTAGCTGCCCCTGAGGACAGATTTGAACTCAGGAAGATGATTCTTCCTGACTCCAGGCCTGGCCCTCATTAGCTGCCCCTGATACAAAATACTACAAAGTAAATGCAAAGAATACTGAACTTGGAGCCATAGGACCTGAAATCTATCTAAGTATCTGTGTGACCTGGTCCAATCATTTAACGTCTCCGAGCCTCAGTTTCCTCATCTGTGAAATAAAAGGGTTGGACTAGATGACCTCTAAAGTCCCTTCATAGGGACATATAGATCAATGATTTTATCATCCCTAATTTCATGGGGATGGAGAGAGTCTACAATAAAGACTTGAAGTAACTGAGCTAAATTGTCACAGATGGGGCCTATGAATCATGGTAGAAAGTTTCCAAGAGATACTAAGTGTTTCATTGGCAGAGGGAAAAGATGTGGCTTTTTGGGGGGGGTTTTGGGGGATTTTTTTGTTATTGCTGTCTCTCTCTCTCTGTCTCTGTCTCTGTTTTGATTTGTTTTTGGCTAGGCAGTGGGGTTAAGTGACTTGCCCAGGGTCGCACAGCTAGTAAGTGTTATGTGTCTGAGGCTGGATTTAAACTCAGGTCCTCCTGACTCCAGGGCTAGTGCTCTATCCACTGTGCCACCTGGCTGTCCCTTGTCTCTGTCTCTTTGTCTCATGTCTCTGTCTCTCTCTCTGTCACCTATGAACCTGTGGAATGTTGTCTCAGACATCAAAAGCACCCAGCTGTTTAGCTTGTAAAGCTCACTTTGATATTTCCAAGAGTTCGTGTTACATTTCAGTAGCACAGCTTTGCAGTCCCATATGTTAATATGCTTAGGTTTCCGTTGCTTGGTAAGCTGACTCCATTTTTACAGGCAGCAAAGGAAACACCAAGGGATAAAATAACTTTCTTCATGCTGTGTGGTTTGTGGTGGGCAGATGGAATTGAACTTAGCTTCTAGATCAAAAACCTTTCGATCACGTTATCTATCAATCACTAGTGACAAAATTAGTCTATCAGCAACAACATTGTTTCCTCAGAATGACTCAGTGTTAGGTGGGCAGATACCATAGCAGATTGAATACTAGACTCAAAGTTGTTATCGTTCAGTTGTTTTTTAGTAGTGTTCAACTTTTAATGACTGCATTTGGGATTTTCCTGGCAAAGATACTACAGTGTTTTGTCATTTCCTTCCTTCTCCAGCTCATTTTGCAGATGAGGAAACAGAGGCAAACAGGGTTAAGTGACTTGCCCAGGGTTGCACAGCTAAAGTGGCTGAGGCTAGATTTGAACTCAGGTCTTCCTGACTCCAGGATGGGCACTCTATCCTGCGCCATATACCTGCCCAAGTCAGGAAGACCTGAGTTCAAATCCCACATCAGATACTTGCTGATAAGGGCAAGTCCTTAACCTTTCTGGGCCCTCATTTCTTTAGTAACTAAATAAAGTTGGATTTCATAGCCTCTGAAGTCCCTTCCAGATATAAATCTATGATCCTATGATCATTAATGCCTACTGACGTAAAGCTCTGATGGTAATGAAAGATCATGAGTATCTGGGTTAAAAAAAAAGATGTTTCAGGGCACTATTTATGATTCCTAAAAATTTTAAAAAAAAACACCCTCGTATTTGCCAAATGACCCACGGGAAGACAACTGAAAGGCATTTCTTTCTTGTTCTGGTTCCCTCCTGCAAATCCATTTTTTTTTCATTCAGCAAACATTTGTGGAGCCCCTACTCTGTCTAGGACCCTGTTGCTGGGTGCTCCCCTGAATCAGTGTATAACACTGCACAAGGAGTGATTGTACCCTAGTTTCCCTCATTAAGAATATCATGATAAAAATACTCATCTTTTGTCACGCCTGGAATGTCCCTTTCTCTAGGATTTCCTCCCCCTTCTTATGCCCTCAGTGCCCATTCTTCCCTTATCTGAAGAGTTATTGAAATTCCACATTCTCAGTGAAGCCTTCCTTAACAAGCTGATGGTCATATGGCAATGACCCCTTCCCTGTTACTGAACTCTGACATATGGCCCACATCCCCAGCAGACAAAGCCCTTTTGTACTTTCAGTCCAGTATAAAGCTCATACATATCTTGTGGTCAGTGGGAGCTTGGGCCTCACATGTGGGTTTTTTCCAAGCTTGTGTGATGGACTTGGTGACAAGAAGAGGGGAAGGAATGGGAACAGGAGTTGGGAGGGGAGGTAGACAAGTATTAGAAAACCAGGCTGCTCTTACTCTCAGGCTTAGTGACTTTGGGCAAGTCATTTCACTCCAGGCCTTAGTGATCCTCATCTGTAAAATGAGGGAGTTGGATTAAATGGGATCTTAAGTCCCTTCTGGCTTTGAAATTCTCAGCCTGTGGAATGTGCCTTTTACTGCACCAGGAAACCTAGTATATGTGGGTGTGTGCTTATAGATAACTCGGATTCCGGGGCCAATTAATCAGTCCAGTATTCATGTGTACTTTACTTTTCTGCAGAATACTTGTAGGGCTCATTATTACCACCACTGAAAGTCAATTTTGCTGTTTGTTAATAGGTTTGGGGTTTTTTTTCTCTTCTTTTAAGGATTCATTGGAGGAGGAGGAGTATTAAGTAGCTGAAACTCTAACTCTCTTAGATCTTTTATCTGTCTTTATCAGCTGTAATTTTAAATTATCCTTGAATAGTATCTGATAGTTATCTAACACCCTAAGGGTATTAGTGATTGAATGTCAGACCCAATGTTCTGAAGTGTTTTGCATTCTTTCTAGATATGAGACTGTCTGGACCTCTGGCTTATCTCTTAAAAATATACTAACAAAATAGAGAAGGGTCAGTGAACTGACAATGCATTTAGAAAAAATTAGAAAACAAAAAAAAAGTCCACAACTGCTATTGCCTCCATAAAAAAAAATCACTTTGTATTTCTTTTGTATATACTTACATGTGTGTGTGTTGTCTATCCTGATAGAATAAGACTCTTTGAAGACAGGGACTATTTCATTTTTTACTTTTTATCACCACGACTTAGCACAGCACCTGGCACATAGTAGGAACTACTCAGTGTATGTGGGTTGGTTGATTGATTAATCAATTGGCTGTTCTGCTTGCTATCTCTGTGATATTGAGCAAGACACTTAAACTTGCAGGGTGTCAGTTTCCTGACATCTACAAAATGAGAGGATTGGATTAGATAGCCTTTAAGCTTTCTTTTGGACCAAAGTCTGTGGTCCTTTGGTCCTAAATACTATGCTAGGTGGTGGGAATACAAAGATAAATGTGAAATCATCCCCGCTCACAATGAATTTAAAGTCAGTCCTGTGATTCTGTACATGTAATAAGTATAAAAGTATCCAAGGCAAGGTGCTTTGGGAAATTTTGGACTAGAGAAGTTTATTTTTCTCTGGGTATAGGGAGGGAAGGGGTTTCAGGAAAGACCTCATAAAGTAGGTATTTGAGTTGGGCTTAGAAGGAAGGGAGAGATATAAACAGATGGTGGCTAGGAGTCCATTCCAATGTCGGAAATCTCTGTGATCCGCTGAGACAGGAGAGAGCTGGATGAGAAGGAATGGGGGTATCAAGATGGGTTGGAACACAAAAGTATATGAAGGGGAATAGATAGGCAAGCTGCAAGTTACTTGAGGAGAGCTATGAATACTAGGGTCAGGAGTTAGTACTTTATTCAGCAGTAAATGGGGAGTTGCTGAAGGTTTTTGACTAGAGTCAAATAGCAGATCATTATGAGGATTGCTCAGGCGGGATTACAGAAAATATATTGGAGGCAAGAAGACCAGTTAAGAGTTTATTACCATAATCTGGCTGAGAAGAGATGAGGATTAAAGTGGGTGCATTTAGAGTGGAGATGAGGGAGCTTATAAGGGAGAGACTATAGAGATAGAAGTGACATTACTTGGTATTTGATTGGCTTTGTGGCTTAGGAGAATTCTTGCTCAGGTATAAGTTGGCATAGATGACTCCTGAGGACCCTTTTAGCTTTGTGATTCTTGACGGGGAAGAGTTAATGATGATTCCAAGTTTCAGACCTAGTGATATATTGATGCCTTGATTCCAAGTTTCAGACCTGGGTGATCAGGAGGGTGACGCTTACTAGCTGTGTGACCCTGAGCAATTCTCTTAACCTCTCTCAGCCTCAGTCTCCTCCTCTGTAATATAGGAATAATAATAGCACCTACTAAACAGAGTTGTTGTGAAGATCAAATGAGATAATATACGTAAAGTGTTCTGCAAATGTTAAAGCACCACATTAATTAATAAAAATTAATTTAATTGATACAATTATTATTATCATTATTATTATTATAGATTTGCCATATGCAAATGCAATTTTAGCTTAAGAACCAGGCAGAGCTTACATTTCTCCCAAAGAAAATAATCTGCTTTAAGGGCACTGAAGTCAGGAAGATTTTTGTTATTTCAAAATGTGTTATGAGGGATGAAGAATGGGCCGACAGACAGTTAAATCACACTGAAATAACAACAGCCTGAAATTCCCACATAGGTCAGTGAGAATTTTGAGATTAGTTCAGCAGTAGAATTTGCCTCTACAGAAAGCACGCAATAAATTTGGAATCCTAAAATAAAAGAGAAATTGGCAACCTATAGTTTTTACTGTGTATAAAATATTTAGCCTGAAATACTCAGAGTTACCTCACAAAATTTGGGACATTGTGTGCCTCAAGACCCATGTTAAAAAAAAATGCACAGGAAATTTCAATGAATGCCATTAGTTTCTGCTGCTGTGGGCCTCCTGCACACTCATGTGATGTCATTTTTCTCTGTCCTTGCAGGTGATTTTCAAAGCAAAGTCAAAATACTCTCCAGAATTACTTAAATACCGGTAAGTACCTTTCTGAAGCTTCTCAACAGTACAAAGTAAAATCCGGCATTTTTTTTTCTTTCAGTAAACATTAAAAAAATGTTGACATCTTTAATTTTATATTATTTTTAATTCCAAATATGTCACTCTCACTACTCTTCTACCTAGTAAGGCTATTGGTATCACAAGGAACAAAAAAGGAAGAAAAAAGTTCAGAAAAATGACTACTACTACTAATACATATATATTTGTATATTTTTATAGTATTATTTATATAGTATATATGTATATTTTATAGTATTTGAGGGTTTGCAAAGTGCTTTACATATATTATCTTGTTTGACCCTCACAACAATCCTACGAAGTAGGTATAATTCATTGCCTCCTTTTACAGATGAAGAAAATGAGGCTGAGAGTGGTAAGTGACTGGCTCAGGGTCATGCAAATACGAAGTATCTGAGACAAGATTTACATTATTATGTCTATAGTTTTCCTGGTTCTGCTTACTCTATTTGTATTAATTCAAATAAGTCTTCCTCTGTTGCTCTATCATTATCATATTCGTTATTAGTTCTTGTTGATTGATCTTACGGCATAGTAATTTTCGTCTGTGTGGCACAATGTATAAAGCTCCTGACCTGAAGTTTGAACTTGAGTTCAAATCTGGCCTTAGACGCTTACTAGCTGTGTGACCCTGGGTGAATCATATAACCACCATCTGCCTCAATTTCCTCACCTGTAAAATGGGAATAATAATAGCACCTATTCTTATTACTGGGTTGTTGTGAGGATAAAATGGGACAACATTTTAAAGGCATTTTGCAAATCTTAAAACACTTTATGAATGCTAACTCTTCTTGTTATTATCATATACCACAATGTTTCCGTCCCTCAGCTGATAGACATCTGCTTTGTTTCTAGTCTTGGCTCAGACAAAAAAAATTCTGCTATAAATACTTTGATGTTGGGGGGGTAGGGGTCGGGGGAGCCTTTCTTCCTGTGTTTGACCTTAATTTAGGGGTATGGGTGTAACTGTGAGATCCCTGGGTTAAAGAATATGGAGAAAGCAGCCACACATTAACTCTTACGTCTGCATTTCTGGTTAACACTTATCAATCATACACTGATATTAGCTACCAGGAAACAATCCCTACCACATCAATGTTTGACCAAAATTATCAGTGTGCCCACCTCCCAGTAAAAGTCTGCTCATTTACTTATTACTTACTTGGATTTTTGCAACAAGTAAATACTCATAGGGGTACAAAGAACTAGAGAAAGAGAGAGCCCAGGTCTTTTCATAGCCTGATGAGCAGGAGAATCATAAGCTAAAGTAGGCAGGCATTGATTGGTAAGCATTATTCACAAGCCCGTCTGGGAGATGTTTTTGGAAAAAGCTGCAGAACCTGCCCACTGAAGACACCATGTGCAGGAATAGAGTCTATCCACGCGCTCTTTTCCTCTTTAACTCTTGGCGTATCTGGTAACCGTGCTCAGGAAGAGCAGCCTCGCCTCTCATTACGCTCTGTGAAACTGGTCTTTCCTTTGTTTCTCAGAATTCCACAGCTTTACTGTGCTTTCCTAAGATCCTTACAACAAACAAAAAAATGAGGGACACGTAATTTTAAAAATGAGATTGTGTGTATAGAATGCTTTGCAAACCTTAAATGGCTGTATGAATATGAGCTACTGTGATTAATTATTATTTTACCCTTTGCTTCATTTTAGCTGACTACATATCAGCCTATTGGGCATTCATTCATTGATTTGTCAGACTTGTTAAACATCAATGTTGTGCATGGTACTGTGCTGGTCACTTTGGAAGTAAACAGTGGATAAAGTGAATTAAGGAGACATTTTAGTCACTCTTCAATCAGCTAACAAGCATTTATTATGCACCTACTGTATGCCAGAGACTATGCTATGTGCTATGTGTGCAGAGACAAAAATAAAACAATCTCTGCCCTCAAGGAGTCCACATTCTATTGTAGGAGAATACATGTACACATTTAAATATGAACAAAATTAAATACAAGTAGTTTGGGGGGACACACTGGTAATTGGGGTAGGAGATGGGAATTACAAAAGATGTTATGTAGAAGGATGCATTTGAGCCAAGCTCACCCTTGTACATACAAAGAGAATTTATCATTTCATTCATTTCCTTTGGTACTAGTTAAAGTATAATATAAGAACAGTTATTAAGCACCTACTGTGTTCAGTTCAGTCAGTCAACAAGCATTATTAAGTGCTTACAATACGTGTCAAGCATTGTGCTAAGTGTTAGGGAGAAAAAGAAAGGTAAAAGCAAACAAAAAACCCTCTCCTGCCCCCAAGGAGCTCATATTCTAATGGAGGATACAACATACAGATAACTATGTACATACAAGATACGTTCAGTGAAAATGGAAGGTAATCTAAGAGAGAAGGCACTGGAGAAGGAGGGACCTAGAAAGACAGTAGGTAGGATTTGAGCTGAGTCTTGAAGGAAATCTCTGAAGGAAGAAGCAGAGGTGAGAATGGACAGCATTCCAGGCATGCCAAAGCATGGAGGTGGGAGACGAGTGTCAGGTTAAAAGAGGAGCAAGTAGGCCAGTTGGTGGTGTAGGACTGGGGCTCAGGAAATATCAAGGCTAAATATATTGAATGGGAATCATCAACAGAGAGATCGTTGAACTCATGGGAACTAATGAGATTGCCAGGTAAAATAATATAGAGGGAAAAGAGGTTAGGACCTAGGATAGAGCCTTGGGGTACATTCATGATTAGTCGGTATGACCTGGATGAAGATCTAGCAAGAGGCAGAGAAGGAGGAGGAGAACCAGATGAGAGCGGTGTCAAGAAAACCTGGAGAGAGGAGAGTGTCCAGGGGAAGATTATGATTGACAAGGCCAAAGACTACACAGAGGACAAGAAGGATGAGGGCTAAGAAAAGGCCATTAGGTTTGGCGGTTGAGAAGTCATAACCTAACATAACATAAATGGCCCTGGGATAGAGACTAGACCTTTGATTTCATTGTCATTGGGAACTTTCAGATGAGGTAACTCCTTGTATCTCTGCAGGTACTGACCTCAGCAATGTCTAGCCTTACAGAGTTGCTCAGGGCACTGAGTGGTTAAGTGTCTTGCCTAGGGTCATAGAGTTAATATATATGAAAGGCCGTCCTGACTCTAACACTGGCTCTCTACGCACTATATCACTCTGCCTCATAACTTGTTATACAATAATAAATAATGGGGCAAGTAGGTGGTACACTGGGTAGAGTCGGGCCCGGGATTCAGGAGGACCTGAGTTCAAATCTGGCCTCAGACATTAGCTATGTGGCCCTAGATAAGTCACTTGACTCTGTTTGCTTCAGTTTCTCATTTGTAAAATGAGTTGGAAAAGGAAATGGCAAACCACTCCAGTATCTTTGCCAAGAAAACCCCAAATGGGGTCATGAAATGACACAACAGTAGTAAATAATAGCTAATGTTTATGTAATGCTTTAAGACCTTCAACATACTTTATGTAGATTATCTCATTTGAGCCCTACAACAGTCTTGTGAAGTAGGTGGTATTATTCACCCCATTTTATAAATGAGGGCACTGAAACTGAGGCTGGAGAGGTTAAGTGACTTGCCCAGGGTCACACAGCTAGTTAGTGCCTGAGGCCAGATTTGAACTCTGGAAGATGTCTTCCTGACTCCAGTCCTGACACTCTATCCACTGTGCCACCCAGCTGCCTACCTTCCTTTTCATGTACCCACACTAATTTAGGTAGCCCCTGCCACTTGATCAGAAGGATATGTCATCTAGGGGGTCAGGGTAAAGAAAACGGAGATTCGAGCAAAGAATGAGTGGTAGTGGAGAGGGAAACAAAAGGAAGGTATTGTGATAGCTTGGCTAATTCATGGAAAAGATTTGCTATCTGGCATTAGTTGGATTATAGCTGGGGTAGTTGTTTCCCTTGTAGTAATGAAACAAACAAAATGTAGTATGAAACAACAAGCCAGTCGTAGGAAGATTCTGTCAACTGGGAAGACTCACTCCTGCTTTGATCATGAGCACAAGAGTAAAGGTTTTCCTTTAACTTCAAGGGATAAGTTAGCTGTGCTAGACTAAGTAAAATCCCAGTTGCAGGGAGGTCAGTCAACTTGTCTTATTTGTGGAAAAGCAAAATGGAGCTAGATGTTAGAATGGAGAGGATTGACCCAGACAAGGTAGGAAGTTTCTAGAAGCCAGGAGATTGGGGTGGAGTTGGGGTGGGGGAAGCTAGGGTTGTTATGATCCAGTAACATGGAAGCCAAGTATGAGGACATCTGAGGAGTTATTCATGTTCATTCATATCCTTAATCTCATCCGTTCAGCTCCCCTATCATTTCATTTAAACTAGGCACCAGGATGGATGTTTTGTCATGATTCACTCCTGACCATGCTTTGATATGTTACCCTTGAAACAAATACAGTAGCTTATCCAATTCAATCAACATTCAATTTAAATGGAACAGATACATTAGTCTGGAACGTTTGAAGCTCTCCAAGCTGGCCCTATAGCAATTTCGGTGTTCCTGAAAAGGTAATTTATGTACAGGCCAGCCAGCATATCCTCGTTTTTCACTTAATTCCTTGTTTTTTTAATTATTAAGTGTATCTGTTCAGAATGTTGGAGTCTGTGCCAATTTAATTAGGCTTTTCTCCTCTAAATCTTTTCTTTCTAATCTCTTCAGTTTGGAGAAAAAAAAAACAAACCCATGCTCACAGGCGATGGATGGAATTGCCTAACAGAGCTTTGTTTCAGGTATTTTTCACAGTTTTTCAAATGTCTCCTTTTCGGTACAATCAAAAATTCTTTGGGCCAGGTTCTGCTTTTTCTTTTTCTTCAGGAAAGGCATGTTGTTCAGAGACAAAAGCAGCTTGCCTGTTTAGGATTCATCTTTCACACTTCAGCCACAAAGTGTGACTTTGAAAGAGATGCTTTGATCTCTTTTTCCATAAATAATTTAAAACTCCAATTTTCTTTCTTTCTAAAAAAAAAGGG